CTTTTCCACTAAGTCTGTTAACAAACTCCTACACCCCCATGCCCTATAGTAGCTTTGAATTTAATTGGATATGGTCCCAAAATACACTACCAAAGATCCAATTCTTTCTCTGGCGGTTCCCATAATAAGCTACCTACAAATAACTATTTGCATCATATAGGTGTCAATGTAGCGTCCAATTGTACCATTTGCAAGCATCCATCAGAATCTATCCACCATATTTTTCTCGAATGCTTTATTGCACGAAAATTCTGGTTGGACCTTGGGTTAAATGTCAATGCACTTCCCAATCACCAGATTCATTGGCTTCAATTAATAAGGGACACTAATATCCCCATCCCCAACTACCCTTTAACATGGGATATTTTCTTCCCTTTTGCCCTGTGGCACATTTGGAAAAATAGAAACCACAATGTTTTTAACGGAACTAACTTGTTTATTGATATTAAGACAGTGTGTACGCGGGCTATGGAATACATGTTCTGTACAGGGACTTCAATCACACCCGTTCACACCAAAAACATCCAAGTCAGGTGGTTCCCCCCACCTCCAGTATCCTTTAAGCTTAATACTGATGGCTCTTTTTCTGACAAAGATCGAAGTGGTGGTATTGGAGGTGTTATCAGAAATTCGAATGGTGACTGGGTCTTAGGTTACTCAAAAGAGATCTATGCGCTCAACCACACTCACGCTGAACTAAGTGCTTTAGAGCATGGGCTGCACCTAGTGCTAAATCATCAATTAACTCCTGTGGAAATTGAAACAGACTCTATTGAAGTTATTGAACTATTAAATCAAAAATACCCTATTTTAAATAATATTATTGATTCTTGCAGGTCTCAATTGAAGAAGTTGGGGAATCCAGTCTTCCGGCATAGATTCCGGGAAGGAAACAAGACTGCTCACGATCTGGCAAATGAAGGGTCCAAGCAACATCCAAGTGATTTTATATATATATACATGCAAACAGACAAAGAAGGCTTGTCGTCTACTAGAACAATCCCTATATCTATGTGTTATAAGTTAGCTAGTTTTGGAAACTTATGTGTACTGGCCGCTCAAAATAACTGTAATGGGACGTCCAATGTCCCTGTAATGCCTTAGTATTAATGAATATTTCCGTTTTTATCAAAAAAAGCAGAGAAAATATAATATCTAACCCCTTCCGGCTTCTCCCAACTGTTTTACAAATCTTTTTATTCTTACCCCATAAATTATTTTCTTCTATTTTTTGGGTATAACCCACGTTTTAGAGCTTAATTGTTGGTTCAGTGATATAAAAGTATTTTTAAGATAATAAATATGCAAAAGCACAACAGTTAAGCGAAAACGTCAAAAATATTTTTTGCCTTCTCCAAACGTCTTTTTTTGCTTTGGAGATTTTTTTAGAAAGTTTAGTATAGAGCTAATAGTGATGGGAATCCTATCATGGTTTTCACGTGAATAAGTATAGTAGTAGGAGAAAACTAACGTAATAAAGATTGGTGACTTGTTTATGCTGAATATTGTCGGTGTTCGTCAAGCTCTTGCTTTCTTTATAAAATTTACAAAAGTCGAAATATAATTGTGAAACAATCTTTTGGAACACAAGTTAGGCACTTATTTAGTTTTCTGATAATAAAATTTACACATTTAAAAATTAGATAAAAGTGATATGAGTCATAATTTATTATTAAAAATATTTTTCAAAAGGGATATAATGCAATCAGGAAGATATAGTTTTTCAACTAATAATAATGTCATTCTTTCTTTTAAAAAAGGTACAAAAGTTATATCACCAACTTGATAATCACCATTCTTTCTTAGGTGCTCTAAGTAATTAGCTTTTTGCATTGTGAGACTATAATTAGTGGAATAAGCTTTTCTTTATTTTTATTATGGTGTTGCTTCATGCACACCTTTCCTTCGCTATCGTTTCCATCCTTAAGAAATTGACTTAACTTTGTAGCACTACGCATTTGGAGTTTATCACGAAATGATAGTAATATCTTACGCCATTTTCCATTTTATTTGTGGTGTTACGACATGTTTTTGCATCAAATAAAGTAAAAATACCAAGCCACGTGTTATAATATCTGTAAACAGTGGCGGAGCTACATGCACCCAAGGGGTGTCAACCGACACCCCTTCGTCGGAAAATTATATTATATTATATATATATATAGACATCGTCCCTTGACTTCTTGGTGAGTTTATTTCTTTATATTTTGACTTTTCTTAATAAAAATCCTGGGTTAGCCACTGTCCGTAAAACATGTATTATTGAGCCAATTATCAGTATAAGGGCAAACCGCCAAACCCTAAACTTAACTATGCAATAAATCCATAAAAATGTCTCAAAGAGAGGTGAAATAAGAATGAATAAAAGGCGAAAAATAATTGAATGACATCCCTTTAATGAAAAAAAGGAGTGAAATTCTTGGAGTTGATTAGAAATGAATATTCTTGGGTGCATGTATCCAATCTAAATTACATTATTATGGAGAATCAATTCAAAGGAAGAACACTCTTGTGTATTTTGGAGAGACGACGGTGTTTGGCAAATCAGTGCTCCATATTAATAGGGAAAAGAATGACTATTAACTAATTTGATGTTATTAATCATAAAAATTTGGGAGTTTTAGTCCACAAAAAAGACAAAACATATATCAAATCAAGATTTACTTTTGCTGATTTAAGTATGAATATGCATTACACTAAATTCACTGCTTATGTGTCTCAGCCCCCACAAAAAAGCAAAGGTTGGCTAGAAAAATGATCACTTTTTTATTTCTGCCGTGCCGCTGTTTGATTAGAGTGGTGGACAATTTGCATACTATAACAATTTTCCATGACTTTTTCTTTATCTACAGAGTATGATTAAATTTTTATTAAAAGTTTGATTATTGAATGATCATTAAAGGTTCTTTATTTTTAAGTGATAAGGATTTATTTGAGGAAAAGAACAAGACAAAGTCAAAGGAGAAGGCCAAACATAAAGATGCCCAGAAAAATATACTACTCCCATCTTTGTTTCTCTTTAATGACTATTCTTTGTTTTTGGTTGTCTCTTTTTTCTTTCTTTAATTTGAAAAATGCATCGGAAAGATACTGCTTTTTTCTTTCTTTTCCCTTTTTTTTTTTAAGTTGGAGTGTTTCTTTTTTCTGAAGGCTGATGTCTGAAATTGAATTTTCATTGCTGAAACATTTGGCTTTTTCACATTGTCACCTTTCTTTAATTGCCAGCTTTGGTTTCAAGACTATCTTAGGTACTTTTTTTTGCATATTACCAGTACCAATATTCCTCCTTTTACTATAATCATATTGAACTTTTCAAGGACCGAAGAATTAATTTCTAAAATCTTTCTGGCATTAAGGGTGGGCCTGTAATTGTATATGAGTAAAAGATAGAAGTGGAAATGCTTATGGTGACATTATAACCATGCACCTGTATTGAAGAGTTATATCACAATGCTTACGATTTTCTTCGTTTTGATTTATATGACACACATTCTTTATTAGTTTCTTCCAAAAAATAATAATATATTTATATATTTAAAATAATTTAACTTTAAACATTTCATGTTACCTTAATGAAAAAATTTCATAGCCACTTACATGTTATTGACACCATAATACTTTTGCCATTTAAACTTTTAATACCACAAATTTCAAAAGATATATTTTTTCCTTAAACCCTATGCTAAGTCAAACAACCTCATATAAATTGAAATGGAGGGAGTGTTACACTTCTTTTATTGTTTCATTGTTAATTAGCCCTTAATAATCCCGGAAAAACAGAGTGCATGGAATTTTCTTAAAAAAAAGAGAGAGGTTAAAGTAAGCAAGAGAATTGTAGAACTTATAGTAAGTAATAAATATAATGAATAAAATAACTCCATTACTAACTCCATTGGACCCCAAAAAAATGAACTTATTTTTGCTGGATCAACTTCTTGCTCTATATTGGGCGAAATTGTGAAAGGTAATAAATAAATAAAAAGTAAAACTAATGGTCAGCTATTAGAAATTTAAGATAGAATATATCCATATTAAAGTTCTTGCCTTTTCTTTACTCTAAGATAAGATAAGAAGATGAGAGCAAGAAATTAAAGGCCAATGTAGATTTCCGAAAAAAACAGGTTGCATAATAAGTAATGACAAATTAAACAATTTTCTATAAAAACAAGAAAGCTTGATTTGGTTGAAAATAAAAAAGCAGCTACTATTAGAATGGACTAGTCATTTGTATTTCCAACAGAGACAGAGGGTTGAATTGCTGATGTCTATACATAAAAAATGGACAATTTTTTTGACATAAGCGTGTGTGGTCTGATGATGCTATTTCATCTGTTGGAGCAGGTAAATTACAAGCAAAAATGTCCAATCTATTTCTGAAAAAGAGCTGACATTTCCTATTATGCTTTAGAATCCAACTCTGCTATCTGCAAATTCTGAAAAAAGTTAAAAAGAAAACAAAACTTCTTACATCCTGCACTATTAAATATTATGGTCCAAACATTAAATATCTTACCGAATACTACTATATAAATTTAAGACTTTTATAGCATGTACTGCTACTATCTTTACAGAAGTAATCATAACCATTTTTGTAGTCAAAGCACTGTCAATAATTTATCAAATTATCTTAGTCAAATTTCTCCATATTTTCACATGCCTAATCATCCGTATGAGCAGACCTACAACATTACTCATTCGACTTGAACTATATGTGTAAATAAAATAAGAAAACGTACTTATACTTCTTATCACAAAAGAATGGAGTGTAATAGACAGTCCGATACAGTAAGCTCCTGTTATGCGCAAGATCCGAGGAAGGGCCGGATCACAATGGACTATTGTACGCAATGATCTATTATATTGTAGTAGACTTAAAAATCTTGGTTTGACTTTTCATTAACATAACTAGAACAACACAAATGAGAAAAGAAAAGTTATTCTCATCACATTAGGTAAGGAGAGTCAATTAATACACAACCATATTCTAAAGTCAATAAGGTGAGAGCAAAATAGTCTTTTGGTATTTTCTTCACTTCTTTCTCTGTATAAAAGTTTGGCCATAACTGATGTAAGCCTGCTACTTTAGTAGTAGTATATACCTTTGATCTTTGAACCAAAACAGCAAAGCAAGAAAAAAGCCATAATACCCTTTGTTTCTCTTTCTCTTCAAACTAAATAAGAACCCTATTTCAGACCCCATCTCACCACAAAAACAGAAGCATGGGGACAGATAGAGAGGTAGCAGAAATGAGTTCAACACTAAAACTTCCTTTGTTTTCAGTAGAGTCATCAACAGAGGATTTAGGGATGCTAACTCCTCTTCACACTTTAGCTTCAATACCTTTTAAATGGGAAGAAGAACCTGGAAAACCTCGTCCATGCACTGATCTTATCCCTCTTCCAAACTCCATATGTTTAGAACCACCTCCTCGGCTTTACAATATGGAATTTTCCAAGACATCTTCTTCTCCTACAACTGTATTTGATGGACCTTATATTACCAGCAAACCTAAATTTTCTTCATTCAGGTTGTTGAGGAAGGACCGTCGTCATCGTCGACAAGGGTCTTTTGATAGTAGTACTAGTTCTGAAACAGGACAACTTAGTACTACACTACTTGTTCTTGGTAACAAGAAATCGGAAAGCAAAAGCTGGTGGCGCCGGCCGACTACTCATGTTAAACATAAAGGTTGTGATATTAATAGTGGTTTTGTGTTTCCATCTTCTATAGATTCAACAGATTGTGTTAGTCTCAATGAAGAATGCAGCAGTTCCAGTATAAAAATGGGAACACTTAGAAGAAGTAGCAGTTTCTCAGGTCACTCGCACGCTAAGACTCGCATCTGGGTAAGTGTATTTATATGCAGATTTCAATTTCATTAGTGAATTTCGCTATAACTACTGTTTTTCTTCTGTCCGTTTCATGCTAAATTGCTCTTTTTTTTGATTCGTCATTCGTACTCTGCCTTTAACCCCCTTGTAATTAACGTACTATGATCTCAATTAACTTAGGAACACTGAAAGAAAGATGTACTTGCTATATAGAGATAAGTTTCACGCGCTCTACGCTAGATCCTTTAAGAAGGTTGGCCGCCCCACCGGTGGCGGAGGCAGTATTTCAGTGGGGTTCAGAAAAGGAAAAAAGTTTAAAAAATTATAAGAGATTATGGCCGATGCAAATTAACTGAGCTATGCTTTTGCCCTGTACAGTATAATTTTCCGGCCAAGTGTTGTGCTCCTTAAATCCACTCTTGCGCCCCACCCTTAACTGTTTGTTCTTTGACTATAAAATTATTAATCAATATATTTTTAGTAAAATTCTTGTTACATAGTTTCCATTTTTTTTTAAACAAAGCTTGAAGAATGATGACTGAATTAAGTAACTAGAAATACCTTACAGTTCCATAGTAATGAGGAACTAATATGAACACAATGAACAGAGAACGTACAGAACTAGTGGGGTGATAGAGTAATGAGAAAGCTTAATTATTGAGGCAGGTGAGGTTGAAGAAGACGGCAGTGGGGCTAAAGAACATCTATTTAACTTCACTTTTTAGGGAATGGGGGTAGGTATTACACAAACCCACAAATAGCTGTAAGCAATTATGTATTTAAAAGCTAGATAGGGTTGAATGAGTAGGTAGATGCTGTCCCAACCCAAGTTATAGGGCGTCCATTGTCATCACAGTAAATGGGAAAGGGGCGAAGGATATGGGCTGTCTGATTGAAGCTGTTTTTGTTAAGGATTGGGAGATGTGTAGACTTTTCTCCTTAGCATATTTTCTTGCTCTGCTATCATTATCAGCATTTAAAATAATTTGCGTGATTCGTTGGCTTTCATTATTAAAAATACGTGCAGTGTCTTCTATTTTTCCATCAGCATTTGCTAAACTCAAGTATTGGTCTTGTTGAAATCTTACAGGCAGCTATATACGAGGGTTTCAAGCAGGTAATACCATGGAAGAGCAGAAAGTCGAAAAAAGAAGCGCTAATTGGCTAACTTTCAACAATAGCTGTTACGTTTATTAAATGAAGACTTGATGTATGCTTTCTCTAGTCATTTAAGTACTCCTGGTTAAATAAGCAGGAGATATAAAAACAAATGCACTGTGACTCTTGCCTGAATGTTGTATTCTACTATCTTTAGCCTTAAATTTCACCAGAACAAGTTGTAAATTTAGTATGAGATCATTTTCTGGATGCCATTGTCACTTGTGCTTGCAATGAAGTGAATATTTACAGTTCACATGGAGGACATACCAGTCAGAGCTACACATAAGTTACATCCAATTCGAGACATATAGCTAGTTTTAGAAGATGAAATGTTTCAATTAAAATTCCTCATAAACACCCCCAACCCCAACCCCACGCTACCCACCTAGGGTTAAAAAATTAAGTTTCCACCATTACAAATAGACCAGGTATCATAGAGACACAGATAGAGAAGCCTCCCTCTCCAGTGGCCACCTACAGAAAATTTGAGTTCCAATCTTTACAAATAAAGAATTAATAGTACATTATAGTGAGGAGATACTTCAAACAGTGAAGCCTTTCCCTTCAACAATGGTCACTTCAGTCATATACTAAGTTGCCAAACCAAAAGACGAAGGTGCTCAGATGGACCAAATCCTTGAGAGAAGACCAATCTAAAGCAATTCAAAAAGAGAAGATCAACTGACACAAATCAGAATTAAAAAGCTTCTCAGATGCATTTGATTAGGTTACAAGTGAAGTCTAATTCAGTATTTCAATCAATGTAGTACTGGCCATATCAAGTGTTTACAAATGAAGGAGAGCTCCCCCCCCCCCTTCTTGCACACACATTTAAAAGTTATAAACAAAATGAGGACCTTATTTCCATTTCCAATCAGGATGCAACAAAAGGGATGGAATAACACTACAAAGAGCTTGGTTGAAACTAAAACCTCACAAGTATCTTATCCTTACTTTTTACCAGTCATACCAGCAACCACCTGCACAAAGTAGCAAACTACATTATATGAAGAAGAGAATGAAAAGCAGCTGAAGATCTTCATAGGCGTACGACATAAATAACTTAAAAGCACTTTTATAGTATTTTGGTTCAGAAGCTTGTTTCGAGTCTTTGGAATGTTATACGCAGCCAATTTCTAAAGCTCAATTATATTAACCTTAGAGAGATATCTAGCAGCCAGCAGGACAAATTGAGACATGTTGGTTGATAGAAAAAGTAGAGGCTAAATCTCATAATTCACAACTCAAATCTTGACTTGACTTGGCACTTGTTACAAAAAGTCACCACTAAAGCTGCCATAGTGTGATGCTGTAACACACTCGTAGAATCTGAGTCAAAGCATGTCACCTAATGCAAAAGAGAATAAGTAAAAATGGACGTCGTTGATAAAATCCCATTTAGCATCCACAAGAGTGTGAACTAGCATAGCTCGTAAAGGGACCATTTATGTTTATCCAGAATAGATTACAACCTTTACGTATAAGCAAGAGGAAACAAACCAACAAACATATCTGATGAGGAAAATGACCAAAAAGAGGAAAAACACGTTTGCATAAACCAGAAGCAACATAAAACAAAGATAGTAAATTACTCACGTCGCTTAAAGCAGGTTGTGGGACTTGCTTGGATGATTCAAAAGAGTCCAGAATAGGCCTTACAACCGCGGGAAGGAAGAGACCTGAAATTGCAAGAAGTATAAGACAAACTGATTCACAATCAAAGAGAAAAAGTAGGTGGGAATGAAAGTCAAGAAGTGTCCAATCAAAACGCTATCCAAATTTTACTACTTCAGTAGGTAATAAAGTATATCATCATTTCCCGATGCATATGGATGCCGACTTCTTGAGTCAGTATTCGGATTCACCAAGTCATTAAGCAATGTAATTCTCTTGAGCGACTAACTCACACACATTTCTCTCGCAGAAGGCATCCCAGTAAGGCTAACCTAATGGCTTGTGCCATAAAGGATTCTACTCCACCAAGTGTTACTGAGAAAAGATAACAGACAACACCTACGACTGACAGCCAGTAGAGACCTCTCTGGAAGCACAGAAGGGACAAAACACAGAGTTGTAGATGAATTTTACTTGCATGATCAATGGCTAAACAGTTGCAGAGCTGGACTTCTCCAAATTCCTGCTACTGAGTCACTGGTTTTCAAACCCAGTGGATCAGATCAATATAGTGGTGTGTAGGCTCAAAGAAGATATTCCACATCCCCACTTATTGGAATCCCTCTATTTGATCAAATCATTATCAGAAAATGATCAACTTTTACAACCTTAAACTAAATATAATTAGAAGAATATAGATAAACACATGCAGAAGCTGAGGTTGATAACCAACTGCTCTCCCCACCATTCCCTTTCAGGACATGGAAAGGACTTCCTGATCTATACTTAGTATACTGTGGATTTCTCTGCTTCATTGCAGATGAATACATACATAATGCTAAAAGACACAAAATGTACGTTCTTCATTAGGTTTCACTCTGTCACCTCTGTCAAGATGAAGCCGGTAAACTAGTCCAAAATGCATACTAGGGTTAACTGCATTAATAGGCCTCATAAATAGTTTTTGCATTCAGGAACTACGTTGATCTAAGCACGAAAAGAAATAAGAGAACCAACACTCTCTACAGCCAGCTCCTAAATTCTGGATTCCCATCCGTTACTCACTCCTAAACAAAGAAGATATACGTACATCCATACATACATTGAGACATACGAATATATTGTATGCATGTGTGTGTGAACAGAATGCAAGAATAAGGAGTCATCATGGTAGCAGATTTCTTTTTGGGCAACAGATCAACTTGATGCAGGTTATCCTTTGGCACAAATCATACTTGCGAAAATATTTGGAGGTTATTCTTCTCAATTATATAAGTACTTATTTGGCGTAACCGGTAAAGTTGTTGTCATATGACCAGAAGGTCACGGGTTCGAGCCGTGGAAACAGCCTCTTGCAGAAATGCAGGGTAAGGCTGCGTACAATAGACCCTTGTGGTCCGGCCCTTTCCCGGACCCCGCGTGTAACACACCTCAAATTTATAAAAGTTTTAAGACACGCTAAATATAGAATTTAATTTTTTATAATCTTAAATTATACTTCTATTACGGATTTAAATCCTTGTGATTGATTTTGAATTACTTTTCTATTTATAAATAATTGGACATACAATTTGGTGGGGAAATATTAATAATTTTTAATATTACTAATTATTAAAAGTAGGAATAATTAAATACTAGTTTGTCAAAACAAAACAAAAAAAAAAAAAAAAAGCAAAAGAAGGGTCACGTGCAATAAAGCCCATAAAGGGTTCTTGGCAATTAACAGGCAAAACTGGTAAGCCTTAGGAAAATTTAAAACAAAGCGACATTCTGTCGCCCAACAAAAACAGAAGCGGCGTTAGCAAATACTTGCGCAGCAACGAAAATTCTAGGGTTCTTTCTAATTCTTGAACTCAGGTATATAAATTCCCTATTGTCAGTTATCCTATATTAGTAGTAGGTAAGAATTGAATAATTAATTCACTTCTTTCTCTATATCAACAATAAATTTTATATTTAGGTGTAGTACTTTAAAATTGATTAAAATGCACTGGTTGTTGTAGAATCGATTGTTTGACTGGTGTCGATTGGACTAGGGTCTACATATTGGCTAAAGGAGTTTTGAGGTGAGTTGATATAACCCTTTACTAAGGTGGTTTAACTCACAAAAGCACGCACACAAGGTGTTTGATGAATTGCATAAAAGAGTTAATATATACTTAATTGGAGTAGTAAGTACCCATTAGCTTAGATTTATTTTCTAGCTAAAGTTTAGATGATTATTTGGGATATATGTGCATAAATTTCAGATTTTTATGTTATTCTTTATACTTAATTGGAGTAGTAAGTACCCATTAGCTTAGAATTATTTTCTAGCTAAAGTTTAGATGATTATTTGGATATATGTGCATAAATTTCAGATATTTATGTTATTCTTTATACTTAATTGGAGTAGTAAGTACCCATTAGCTTAGAATTATTTTCTAGCTAAAGTTTAGATGATTATTTGGATATATGTGCATAAATTTCAGATTTTTATGTTATTCATATATGCCATTTTCATGTTAAAAATTTATGAAGGATCAAGAACCTTTATAAATACTTTTGAATGTTTATTTCATTCTTATGTCACGCCTTACATTTAAGGATACCAGTATGAGTATGTATAAAAGATTTAGACTTGAAAAGTCACAAGAAGAAGTTTTAGAAAGAAAAGATTTTTGGGAGTATCCTTTATTCTGAGAAGGGGTCATCGTCCAGGCCGAGGGTCCTGACCAAGGCGTTGACTTCCTGAAACTACTTGTGCCAAATTAGGGAGCACACGAGCCGAGGGTCTCGTTGCTGAGAAATTACTTAGCCATGCTAAGGTATGATACATGAGCGCTGAGAACCATGAAGCGAGTGGCACCTCGTGGATTGGGCCTATTCGATCAGGTTGGGATCGAACCCGTGCCGATCACACGGTGACTGAGACATAATTAAGTCAGGATAGTTGGAACTCCCAAAGTGTAAAGTGAAGCATTTTTTTTTTTGAAAGAAAAAGAAAAGAAATTCTTTTAAAATATTCATAAACTGCTATTATGCAATTATTTAGAATTATTCTTATAAGCTTTATGTTTTACATGCATTTATAACCTTTGCTCACAATATATATGTTATTAAAGTTTCGCCCCCTGTTGTTGAGACTCACTGAGTACCAGGGTTATTAAAAGCGCTCGCTTCTCGCTTTAAGCAACGAAGCGAGGCGAGGCGCACGGGGTACGCTTTTCTGGAAAGAAAGCGACTCACATTAGAAAAGCGCACGCTTTTCTCGCTTAAGCGAGAAGCGACGCTTTATGAAAAGCGATAAAAAGCTCGCTTAAGCGAGCAGAAGGCTGAAGCTAGGGCTTTTTTAAAAATTTTGGGCAAATAAACATACGCTCCAAAGGCATTTGTTACCAAAACATACGCTGGTCTTCTTCTCCAGCCCAGCGAACTCCAGCGACACTGCGACATACCACTGCTGCTCCAAAACAGGTAAGTTTCTTCTTCTTCTTCTTCTGTTTTTCTGTTCTTCTGTTCTTCTTCTTCTTCTGTTCTTCTTCTTCTAGTCTTCTTCTTTAGTTCTTCTGTTCTTCTTCTTAATGATCTGTTTTCTGTCTTCTTCTGTTATTCTTCTTCTCTTTTGTTTTTCTTTCAATTTTTTTTCTCCATATTAAG